CCCTACACAGATGTAATGAATTTTGTCTCTGTGTATATGGCTTATATTATGGCAATATATGTTTGTCTGTTTACCAAATACAAATTGTGTGCTTTTATTTTTTTCCTGCTCTTTGTTGTGTTTTATTTTTTAAACCAGGTTTGAGGGCTGGTCTAGCTGCTTCTATTGCAGGAAGTTCAATTATTAGCAAAATGTTGCTAGCAAACATCGATCCATTTGGTGCTACGCCGTTTATTGACCCGGATCCAGATTCCCTGTAAGAAACTTTTTTTTCCAAACTTGCTTTTGCTTTATTTTGCTTAAGAACTTTTTTTTACCTTTTGGAATTTTTTTTTTAATGTGAATTTTTTTTTTGCTATCCTTTGGCAGTAGGCCTTCAAGGTCTGCAAACAAGTTGGATTGTGCCATTTTAGTTATGAGTGGAGAAAATTTGTCTTGCAGCAGCAGAAATGATGGGAGACATTTGCTCACAAAGCCTGTGCTCGTTTGCTCCGGGACGAGGAGGAGGACAGGTGTCCTTCAGAGCTGGGTTTTCCTGCCCAAACTGCTGGTCTGAATACAAGCTAGGTGACCAGATGTTGAGGCAGGTCTGGGTACTTTGTAGTGGCAGAAGAGAAGCATTCCCCTAAGGACTGGGTCAGCGAGGTGGAAATTCTGTGTCCTAAGCTATCTCTGCTTCCCAGAACTGGGTGTAGCATTGGCAGAGACTTGTGGATAATATCTGAGTTGTGGGATCCCCTAAAATAAAGCAGTGCTGTGCCAACAACAAGAGCCAAACATTTAAGCACCAACGTGCCTTAACGCAACCTGGGTGCTCAGTCTGGTGTGATGCTGCTGTCACAGAGCCATACCCAGGGCAGCTCTTTCCTCATATCCCACTGTTATTTTTGGGTATGGTGGAGATAACACTGGGTGGGGGTGTGATACAGCTGCTTCTTTGCCCTTCGGGAAGTAACTTGCACTCGCAAAGGAGCCAGCAGCCAGTCTGTGGTTTTTTTGGGTTTCCTCAGCAAGATTCAGAGGCAACATCTCTTGATGTGTCTTGGTTGTTGTATCTGTTCTGAGACCAGCCACAATCTTGGTCAAAGCTCTATCGGTTGTTGTATTTGTTCTAAGACCAACCACAATCTTGGTCAAAGCTCTATATGTCCAGGTACTCTACAAATGTACGTGTAATTATCTCTTTTCTTCTAACAGGGAGGGCTATTCAGAAAAATGTGTCATGAACAACTACTTTGGAATTGGGTTAGATGCAAAAATTTCACTAGAATTTAATAACAAGCGAGAAGAACACCCTGAAAAGTGCAGGTAACATAATTATCAGTAGCAGAGCCAAGACATTTCCATTATTTTCTTTTCCTCATGTTTTATTTGGATTTCTTATTACTTGGATTTCTTATTTTTTTCTTATCCCACAATACAAAATGTGTTTATTTCAATATATAAGACTTGTTTACCTTTTTTACCTGTTTTCAGAAGTCGGACAAAAAATATGATGTGGTATGGAGTTCTTGGCACAAAAGAGCTACTGCAGAGAACTTACAAGAACTTGGAACAAAAAGTTCAACTTGAGGTAAATTTTATTTATGGGCAGAATGAGTATTTTTCCTTCTGCAAAGTGAAGAATTTTGGCTTTCTCTTGAAATCTTTTAGAGTCCTTGTGTCGACCCAGCTGACCTCAAAGGCACTGTCTAAAAATGTATCATGTAAGAGGTTGTTCCTCACATTTTTTGAGTGAAATGTCAGTACTTAAATATCCTAAAATACTCAGTGTAAAGTTTCTTATAATTATTAGCTGATTTTGAAAAACTAAGTTGCTGTATAGGTAGATTATGTTTCTTGATATTCACTGCTTCAAAGGGAGAGACCAGGTTTTAAGGACAGTAAGAGAAATGAACATACGCTAAACAGAAGGAAAGCGATAAGGAGTCTTAATCCTTCAGATTCATTTTAAATTATCTGAACGCTTGAATTACACATACAGGGAGAGCACGCTGAGGATCTTAAGCAAAAATTACTGACAGAAGAGAGGAGATCCTAATTGTGCTTCACAAGAAGTCCAGCTACACCAGTAGAGACTTTCCCTGATAAGTTTCTGAGTCAGTCACACAAAAGAAGCAAGATATTATCACAGCAGCAGTACGCATAAATTACCTAAACTTGGGGTTTTTTGTCTTTTAAGTTCTAACATCAAATCTAAGTCTTCTTCACATACTGGGAACTTAAAGGAGATATAAATAATTAGCAAATGCAGAAAAAGGCTACAGGATGTTTACAGTTATTTTCACCCAAGGAATATCTTGGCTGGGTTTTGACAGAGAACACACATAATTTCTCTTTTTACTTCATGCTAAGTATTTCATACGGAAGTTCACGTTATTTATAGGAAGATAGGTTTTTAAATTGAAAGAATAATTTTAGATTACTGGAACTGTTTCTCACTCCTCTGAGGTTTAGGAGGATTTTGCCTGGTAGCAGCAGGTTGCTGTTATCTAAGGACTGAGTAATTATCAAGGAATTATGCAGTAGTTAGCAAATATAATTAAAGGAAAGAACACTATGTATGCTGCAGATAGAACTCTTATTTAAGGATCTTTTGAGTAAGATTCAAACAAGATTCATTAAGGCATTCGAATCTGACCTTTCCGTGATTATCTTTGAATATTTCTGGAAATAAACCATGAAGTAGGAATTTCTTATTTAGTACTGCCTTGCACAATATTAGCCTGGTGCTAAAACATGTGATGAGGTGCACAGCACTGGGAAATTAAAAATACCAATTTCAGGAATTGGAGGCAGACCTCTACTATAATACAAATGGCTGTGCAGCATCTAATAATATCACAGCATGCTTTGGATACTGTCACATTTTGATTAAAGTGTTGACTTCCATCTTGTTGCTGAGATGAAGTCATAAGAGAGAACTAAGCACATTCTGGAAATAGTTTTGCATCTCCTAATAAATTGCTACAGATTTTATTCTTGAGGGTTTCTCTTTCCTTTGTATAATTTTAAGATCCTTCCATGGGACTGGTAACTTGTAGTGATCTGACGATCGTCTTTAAAGGCAACTTTACCCACAAATTCAGAATCTGCAAAGTGACACCTGCATTTATGACCTTGTATTTCCAACTTACTTCAAATCCACACCTGTGGCACTGCTGCAGGGCTGCGCTTTTGACTCCCAGTTGACTGATTTGAGATCATTAGGCTCACCCCTGGGGGTTTACTCTTAGCCATAAGCAGGGTGAGATTGACCTACATCATCCTGTGATGTTGTTGAGTTGCGTATGGGTTTTTGCGGAATAAAGCGGTAAGAAAGAAGGTCTGAACAACCATAGGAACAACGTCTTAGCTGCAGAATCAACAATTCTTATTCATGGGCTGGATGACAACTGTGGAGTGAGTCCTAGATTTGATCGTGCACTTTCAGGAGAGGCAAGGGGATTTATTTTTACAGGAAGCCAAGTGTACACTTCATTTAACTACGTTTGTGGCTATGCTAGAAATATTCTTGATTTTTTTCTGTTTATATGTTCCCGCTGCTTAATGGATTTACCTAGATAGCAAGTGTATTGGGATTTTGTGAATGCCAATATAGAGTGGAACACTAGTTACTGAATTGGTAAATGAAGCTTTTTGTAATATCCATGGTGATCTTACGTGTGAGCTCAGGGAGACGGCTTTTTTTGTTGCAGAAAGATGCATGACAAACTTCACAACCAGAGATGTGAAAATGCTTATTTAAAGAGTCATGTAACGCCTCCACTGTAGATACTACAACATGTTGTATCTACATGTTTTTCAGCTCTGCCAAAAATTGGTGCTAAAGATTGGGGAGAAGAGATTTTTCTTAGAGGTACTTCACAGCACAGAGGGAGTAGTGTTGTATCAAACCTAATAATGGCTTTGTCTTCCTTTGCCAGCCCTGTCAAAGCTTCATGTGTTAAAAATGACTGATTACTTTTATAAGTTTATTTATATACTGAATGAGATTTTATCTATTACAGTGTGACGGACAGTACATCCCCCTTCCAAGTCTGCAGGGCATAGCTGTGCTAAACATCCCCAGCTATGCTGGTGGGACTAATTTCTGGGGTGGAACCAAAGAAGATGATGTGAGTAACATTAAAAAGAAGTAAAGTTCTGGGCGAAGCCAGAAATAAATATCATGAACTGCACTTCTCATTTAATTTTAATAGTAGTGCCGTATAGTTTGGATAGCAACTCTAATTCAGAGAGACTATTCCAGTTTAAACTGTATTGTCTTGTTCATCTTTTAATTGAAAATAATCACCTGATTTTTCACTGTCTGCTGTCTTCTGTATTGTTCATTCCAGCAAAATGTTCATATTAGGCTTAATGATTTTTTTTAAATGGCTCTGCGAGTACTTTTAGAAACTAATTTTATAAACAGAAACACAAATAGTTTCTCTATATATTGTTTTGCAAACTCCATTAAATAAGGTTTCTCAAAGTATAGATTCCTCTGTTTGCTGTATTGTAAGAATAATCAAGGTGGACAAGGATAATCTGACTTTTCCTCCCATTCTTCAAAGAGCTTCAGACTAAGGGATGGTGATGCAGAAAATGAGGACTGATGCATTTAGTGACTGATAATTTAGTGGTTATAGTAATCTGTTTTTTAAATATTGTTTTCAATGAGCTTCTAAAATATTTTAAGATATCTCTTTTCCCTTCTTCCTCACATCTCCTAAGGAACATTACACTACACAGATACCTAAATGTCTTACAACATGGAGTGGTCTCGCTGCCTCTATCTACTTCATGCATCGTGCAACGATTGTAATTACTAGCCAATTATCCCAATACTGCATGTTCTGATTTAATGTGTGTGAGGTCTGAATCACCTAAAACTGTAGCTGCAAATCAGCTTGTGATTTTTATGTAGATAATCCAGGATTTTTTTGCCAAAATGCTTTTGATTTCTTGTGAGTTATTATACACACACACATATAAAAGTGACAACAATATTTTAACATCTTTCAATGTCCTTTTCTTATTTTTGGTATATAACAGAAGATGGCAGCTGTGTTTATATTTGGCTATACATATCTAAAGAAGTTTTTCTATGCACCATGTTCTTATTCATAACTCAAAAGCGTCTCTAACATCTGCTCGGCTCCTGTTCAGGAGTTTGGTCTTCTCCCTGGGCTGCCTCACTGAGAGATATCTGTCCTAGCTGCCATCCTGGCATACAGCAAATGTGTGTATCTTGGAGCAGTTTTACTGATGTTCTTAGTCTTCTGGTGATCAGATGTGCCAGCAAAGTGATACTTTTTTTTTCTGGACAGAGTTAGGAGTGCAGTTCGTTGCTTTAGTGTGGTCTTGAGTGATGATCGTCAGAGGTGTTGGTCTGAAGTGCTGCTGGCTCTGTTTGTCTGGACATAGATGTTGCCTTGACAGTTGTGACTATTCCTGAAACATCATCGGTGAGCCAAGCCAGGCAGCTGCACACTGACTGACGTGAGCAGGGCTTGTTTAGGCATGTTTTTGGTGTCCAGAAGACAGGCTGGAAACATGGCCTGTGACAAGAAAGGAGGAGATCGTTTCTTGAACGTTGATCTGCAGAGATTTGGTTGCCTTTAGTAAAAAAAAAAAAAAGTTGATTTTCAGCACAGATATGTTTTACTGGTGGAGAGACACAGCAGATTGGGTTGTGTTTTGCCCATCCTTTTGCTAAACTGGAAGCACAAAATAAATGAAATTTTACAACTACTTTTTCTTAACCTGTGGAGAACTAACCCTGTAGATGTCACTTATACTTTTAAAGCTGGATCAAGGACTCTCCATACTTTTTACCTTGGAATAACAAAATCACCATCTTTGCTCTTTTCAAGATGTTCACATCCTCATAGGAAAACCTGGATCTGCACCTTCTTATTCTTCTCCTCCAGCAAATCCTCCATCAGAGGACAGGACCCAACTGGTTGTGACTTTTGAGCTGCTTTCAGGGATTTTCTCTGGTCTGGTCTTCGGTGTCTCTGATGCAGCTTACTTTGCCCAAGGTGGCAATTGAGGTAGTCTGGTACCGCTCAGATAGGTGGTCTCTCTACCTGTTAAACTCTTACTGGAGATTGATTTTCCCTGATTTTTCTGCCTCGTTGCTCCTTCTTGTATATCAGGATAAAATGGTTAAGCTTCAAATGACCTCAGTATGGCATCTCAACCACTTCCCTGGGCAACCTGTTCCAAGGGTTGTTGGGCATTGGAACAGGCTGCCTTGGGAAGTGGTTGAGTCACCATCCCTGGAAATATTTAAAAGATGTGTAGATGTGGTGCTTAGGGACATGGTTTAGTGGTGGACCTGGCATTGCTAGGTTAACGGTTGGACTTGATGATATTAAAGGTATTTTCCAACCTAAAGTATTCTATGATCTTCTGCCAGACCCAGGTGAACACCACCTTAAGACTTGTCCTGTGGCACAGCTGAATTCTTCTGCAGGACACCAGGTGGCAATGGCACACATCATACTTCCTGTGTTTTATGTAAACTCCTGAAAATTCAGTATCTTGGCTGGATATCAGAATATTTGTTCCGTACAGAAGCGGTTTTCATACTTACAGTGGAAAATTGTATACAGCGCAAACAAGATCCTCTTCAGTATGAAAGCTGTGTTTAACAAAGCTGAATGTGGACTCAGATGTTGGTTTCCAGAGAATTCAGGGTATAAGAAGATAAGCACTTCTGAGAAATAAGACACCATTACTTCGCTCAATTTGAAGAACCTCTTAGATGTTAAGTACATTAACCGAGCAGAGATTTGAATTGGCCTTTCATCTTGCCTTGAAAAACATTTCTTAGTCCGCATGCTGAAACATGCCATTCTTGCTCTACAAGGATATGCCTCATCATTCAGATATTTGAAATGCATTATGATTTAAAAATAATATTTGCCTACTGTGTACAGCATCTCACTCCAGTGACTTCTGAGAGACAGTATAGTAAGTTCTACGGCAAGTAAGTTAGAGCGTTTAAATACTGAAAACAAATCTGTAAATGAACCTGTGTTTCATTGAACATGTGATCTAAGCACTAGGTTTACCATCAAAAATGAAATACTTTCTTTTCCTTTCAGATATTTGGGGCTCCATCGTTCGATGATAAAATCTTAGAAGTTGTGGCAGTGTTTGGCAGCATGCAGATGGCAGTTTCAAGAGTCATCAAACTGCAGCACCACAGGATAGCTCAGGTTTGTTTCTTACTTGAAAGCACGCAACAGGGTTGGCAGTAGTTCAGATACTCTTGATGACCACCACCCTATACATTAATTAAGTGCTGACATTGTTTTAATTTTAACGGATAACAAATTGTCTTCCATGATGAATTAAGGATAAAAGTGCTTCATCCTTGAGACAGTCCTGGAGGGAAGCCACAGCTCCTAGTAATCAACATTTTTCAGGTGGCCCGTCAGTTTCATTAGGATTTATTGCTCTTTAAAATAACATGTTTGTTCTTTTCCAGTGTCGGTCAGTAAAGATCACCATACTTGGTGATGAAGGGGTTCCAGTGCAAGTCGATGGAGAGGCATGGATCCAGCCCCCAGGAGTTATTAAGATCATACATAAAAACAGAGCTCAGATGCTAACACGAGACAGAGTATGTTGCAGAAAGTGTGTTACGAGATACCGTTACTAACATTCGCTTCTGCAAGAATTTGATTCAGTTATAACACGAACAAAACAGTGCTTACAAAAATGCTTTATAGCTATTTATATAACTTATGTTATTACTTATCGATATAGAAGTTCTGTAATAAGCCTGATGGAGAATTGCTCTTTTGTATAAGTGAAAAGCCTTTGTTAGCTTTTGTCAGTTTTATTAGTGCTATTCCTGTATTCTTATTAATATATAGTAATAATGGACAAAATTTTATACCTTCCCCAGATTAATAAAAGCAAATGCCATTTTATTACTTGTACAGCTTGTATTGTTTACATAAAATTAAATTTAAAAGGTGCTAAATTAATTTTAACTAAAATTTTATATAAATTAAAATAAATATAATATTTTTAATAAGT